CGGCTGCGCTTGAGCCAGGTCTGTGCCCACACCGCTGTGGCCTGGCAGCTGCCCACGCCCTGGGGCTGCCCCCCGCAGTCTGAGTGAGGCAGTCCTGTTGACCAGGGACCCCTCCGGCTGCACCTCCAGACTCCCGAGCCCGCTGCTCTGCTGGGAGGCGCTTGAGGACGGGCGCCTGGGGGCAGGGGCGCGGGCAAGGGGGGCGGGCAAGTGGGCGGGCAGCGGGGGGACCTCTGGGGGTCTCTGGGCCAAGTCTGTGGGAGTCTGCCCGGATGCTCAGCACCTTAAATCCAGGCAGCCCACTGGCTTTGGACCCGCCTGCAGCAGGTGAGCGCCTGCTGGTGAGGGGCTGGGGTGTGGCGCCCAAGCATGGGGGGGGAGGGGGTTCGGGGCCTCGGGGCCTCCCCGCCTGACGCCCCGCCCCGCCCGGCAGCTTCCTGGCCCGCACGTCCTTCCAGGGCCGCACGGGGCCAGTGTGGGTGACCAGGTCTTCCCAGGTGCACATGTCCCGGAGCTTCAGGGTGTGGAGCCTGCGCCAGGACCCGCGGGGCGCCCCGGTCTGGGCCACGGCGGGCCGCTGGAGGGACGGGCGGCTGGACTTGGAGCCGGGCGGTGCCCCGAAGCCACCCCCGCCATCGGGCGCGCAGACGCGGCCCAAGTTGCGCGTGGTGACGCTGGTAGAGCACCCCTTTGTGTTTGCCCGCGAGTCGGACGAGGACGGGCAGTGCCCGGCGGGGCAGCTGTGCCTGGACCCGGGCGCCACCGACTCGGCCGAGCTGGACTCGCTGTTCGCCGCGCTGGCCAACGGCTCCCTGCCGCGGGCGCTGCGTAAGTGCTGCTACGGCTACTGCATCGACCTGCTGGAGCGCCTGGCCGAGGACACGCCCTTCGACTTCGAGCTGTACATCGTGGGCGACGGCAAGTACGGTGCCCTGCGGGACGGCCGCTGGACCGGCCTGGTGGGCGACCTGCTGGCCGGCCGGGCCCACATGGCCGTCACCAGCTTCAGCATCAACTCGGCCCGCTCGCAGGTGATGGACTTCAGCAGCCCCTTCTTCTCCACCAGCCTGGGCATCATGGTGCGGGCGCGGGACACGGCCTCGCCCATCGGCGCCTTCATGTGGCCGCTGCACTGGTCCATGTGGGTGGGCGTGTTCGCGGCGCTGCACCTCACCGCGCTCTTCCTCACCCTGTACGAGTGGCGCAGCCCCTATGGCCTCACGCCCCGAGGCCGGAACCGCGGCACCGTGTTCTCCTACTCCTCGGCCCTCAACCTCTGCTATGCCATCCTCTTCGGACGCACCGTGTCCAGCAAGACGCCCAAGTGCCCCACCGGACGCCTCCTCATGAACCTCTGGGCCATCTTCTGCCTGCTCGTCCTCTCCAGCTACACCGCCAACCTGGCCGCCGTCATGGTCGGGGACAAGACTTTCGAGGAGCTGTCGGGGATCCACGACCCTAAGGTGGGCGCCCTGGGGAATACTGGGAGGGCACGCACCTCCTTTCCAGAGTCCTAGCCACCAGGAGCTGTCTGCTCCCAGAAGGCTCACTGGGGACCCACCTGGGCAGAGCAGGACGCTTCGCACCCTGCGGGCAGAGCATGAGTCAAGATCAGCTAGGTGGGGGTGAGGTGCTGACGAGGTGGCAGGGGGTGGCAGGGGGAAGGCGGGCGGAGGCCGCCCGCCCGGGGGGGGGGCAGGAATGGACATGCTCCCGCGTGGCCCCAGGAGATGCCCCGGGAGGATGCGATTCGGGGGGTCTATGCAGGCAGGTACTTAGGAAGATGCTGCGCTTCTGCGGAGGAGGGACATGCGGTCAAAGGTCGGGGCAAGGCAAAGTGGGGGAGGCGGGAGGGAGGAGGAGAGGGGGCCGGGAGGAGGAGAGGGGGCGTTCCGCCTGGGCTGCAGGCCTGGCCTCCAGCTTCCAAGGCAGAGCTTTTGCCAGGAGCCCGGCAAGTTGTGGGAAGAGGAGGGGCATGGAGCAGGCGGTGCGTTTTCTTTCTCTTATTTCTTAAAAACAGTTCCCCTTTCTCCTTCCCTCTCAACCTCAGAAACCTCACTCATTTACTAGTGTCCTTAGTTCTTAGAAGCATTTTACTTTCTCCCACAGGGTGCCATGTCGCTGTGACTTGTTTTCTGGCGACTGATTCCCTCAAGCTCCTTCCATTCTGGCTCTCCTTATGGCCGAGCAATGTTCCATTGTATGGGCATACCACACCTTTTTTTATTATTTATTTGTGCGCACAGAACTGGGGTGCAGGTCAGAGGTGCAGGGGTGAGAGGACTCCCCAGAGACAGAGCGGGGAGCAGAACAGGCGGATGGACAAAGTACACTGCTGAGGAGAGCCGCGGGCGGGTGGGGAGAGGTCTGCCGCGCCCTGAGGGTCACCCCCTGGCCGGGGATCGAACTCATGAAGCTGCTGCAGACCCTTTGTAATGCTGCGCTTTCACCTGCTGCGCCCCAGGGAGGCCTGTTTTTACTTTTTAATCGTGTTTTCCTTTTGCGGTTCCATTTGTGTGCCCACTGTTGTCAGGCTCATTCATTCTCCCCATTATTTGCAGTCTTGAGACCCTCTATTGTATTTTTTTAAAGATTTATTTATTCATGCTTACAAAAACTGGGGTACAGGCCAGAGGGGCAGAGATGGTCTCTGAATATCCTTGGTGTAACACTAACACATTGGCCCTCATCCAGTATAGAGAGGAATATGCTCTTTGGAGTAAGTTCTTGATCTTGATGGGCCTCCTTTGCCCTCAGTGTTTCTCCCATACTCACCTCACAGTGACGTCACTCCACACTATATCGCCTCTGATCAGAAAACCCATTTCACAGCAAAGTAATTCTAGCAGAGGCCCAACACCTGTGGAATTCACTGCTTTTTACCACTTCGTTATTCAGAAGACACTAGCTCAAGAGAGCAAGGGCTTGGCCTGCTGAAGACTCTGGTAGGCTGTCAGGGAGTGGGGAGCAGAACAGGCGGATCCACTGAAATCCACTGCTGAGGGGAGCAGCGGGGAGACGGGAGTCCACCCCCTGGCTGGGGAGGGACTCAGGCCGCAGTGGCAGGTGACAGCTTCATGGTGCCTGGACTTAACCCCTTACACCGCCAGGGCGGCCTTATTTTTCACTTTTAAACAAATAGCGTGTGTTCCTCAGGGGCAAGCAATGAAAAAGCCCATTACCAGCTCCAAAACCAACCGCAGCCAGTTTCACCTCTGCACCCCTATCCGCTTTCACCATACCATACCAGGGAATCTTTACAGATGTAGCCCCCCACTACTTTTCCCCCCACTTTATGGATGATGGAACCCTCTCTGTGCTAGGCTGCTCCCCATCTTTCTCCTGAGGATTTGTTTTGGTCCCAGCGTCTCCCACCATTTGGATCTGGCTGATTGTGCCCCAAAAGGCGTTTAGCCTGCTGGGCTACCCCCTTCTGGTGGACAGGCCAGTCATAAAACCTGGGTGCGGCACTGCGCTGGCCACTGGCCACACGCGGGTTCTTTATGGGTCCAATTAAGTAGGCGTGAGCGCGCGGGGGCCCAGAGCGACCCGGTGAACACCCCGACCGACACCCGGAGGCCCTGGGGGCAGTGCTCTGGGCAGGTCAGCCCTGCGCTGTAGTTTCCGTGGTGCTGCGAGACTGGTCAGGAGGCGCTGGCCCGAGCAGCCCCCCACTCAAGCCCAGGATCTTGGGGCCGGCGGGCGTGGGGCTCACCAGGGCCCCGGGCACGCAGGCGGCTCGTTTCCCCTCTGGGTCATCCTACCCAGGGGCACGGAGGGTCACCCTGGCCTGCCGGTCCCGCGTCAGGGCGGAGGGGGAGGCTGGACGCGGGCGGCCTCGGCGGGTCGGGGCTGACCGCGGCCGGCCCGCAGCTGCATCACCCGTCCCGGGGCTTCCGGTTCGGCACGGTGTGGGAGAGCAGCGCCGAGGCTTACATCAAGAAGAGCTTCCCCGAGATGCACGCGCACATGCGGCCGCACAGCGCGCCCACCACGCCCCACGGCGTCGCCATGCTCACGTGAGGG